CTTCTGCTTCAGTATTAGTACCCTCATTGATCTCCATGCCCAATGCATATCTTAGTTTTCCTGCTTCATCCCTCATACAAAATCCAATTGAAATTCTAACAGAATTTCCTTTAGATGTTCCATCTGTATTGACTTTAACCCATCCCTCCATAGGCGGCTCCCAGATGACTTTCTCATACTTCAAACGTGGAGTATAATTTTCCATCATAGTTAACAGATCCAACCAATTGTGGGGGACATTTAAACCTGGTTTCCTAACTTGTTCAAGATATTGCAATGCTGTAGAAACTTTATAGATCACTCTGCTGATAGACACTGCTTGTTCATACTTTAAGCTATTCCTTCTCTTCCATAATTCCCACACAATACAAGAAGGTAAAGCTTGTAAATGGTTTGAGTCGAGGAAGTACCTGGGCAGTCCAACACCTTGTAATTGCTTGATGCATTGATAGGCCCTCTATTGTTATTCCTGCCCTCGATAGAAAATACTTCCAAACTATGGTAGCAACATTTCCTGAGAAGAACAAATGCACAAGTATTTCTTCCTTAGGTTCAACACAACACCAACACCTCGATGGCATGAAATACCCCCGTCTTCGCATGAAATCATCCAAAGGCAGTTTAGCCTTTCATACCTTCCACATGAAGAATGATATTTTAAATGGTAACCCTTTCACCTATATCATCTTGTAGGCTATCCTAGGATTATCTCTCCTTCTTAGATAATTCCATGCAGACCTTACGATGAAATGCCCACGAGTTTCACGCATCCAGTAGGGAGTGTCAAGGACAATATCCATAACTGGGGGTCTTATTTTCTCTACAATGTGCAGTGCAAATTCTTCAGGTAGAATCTCCAATAATCTGTCAGCCTTCCAAGCAACATCTTTCAATACATCATATACATTATGTAAAGATTCATCCACTTCAAACTCTAGAGGAACAAAGAAGTACAATGCTCCCAATCCTGTCCAGTTGTCAAACCAAAACAGTGAAGATCCCATTTTTGGATGCCACGTGATTTGATGCTCAATTATGTCCCTACCTTCCAACATTTTTCTCCAAATATGTGAACCTCCTCTCCATGGAACTATTACTGCATTTAATTTTTTGCAATACTTCTGGATCATAAATGAACTCCACAGACTTGGCCTTGTTCGAAAATTCCACCATAGTTTGCAGAGTAGTGCCTTAGACACATCATGCAACGATCTAAAACATATACCTCCTTCCTCACATGGCATACATATTATTTTCCATGATGCTCAATGTCTACTGGAACCTCCCACAGAACTACTCCATAAGAATTGAGCAAAGATCTTATGGAGATTCTTAATAACATAACTAGGAGGATTCACAACAGAGAGTAGATGAATTGGCATACTCTGAAGGACATTAGATGTCAATACTGCCCTGCCTCCTATCGAGAGTAATTTGCCTTTCCATGACTGCAGCTTGTCAAACACCTTAGTGATGAGGCCTTGATAATAAATCATCTTTCTCCTTGCATAAAATATGGGATAACCAAGGTATGTAAATGGGAATTCCTGCCTTCCAATACAGTGATCCTCTCCACTATGTAAAAGGCCTTGATAATAAATCATCTCTATTTGCTTTGTTTATTTCTTATTTTATTTTATTTTATTTTATTTACTAGTTGTTTATGTGTTTACAGCTTTTCCTTTATGTGTTACTGCTTTATAACTGTCATCATTTGCATAACCTTGGGTCAATTCTTTATGCAAAAAGTCTCATAGTACGCGTCGCGTATCGAACGCTTTGTTGAGTCACCCTTATTTTAAGAGGGGGCCATCGTACGTATGAAGTGGGTGGAAAGTTTGAACAACCACCATCGACCATACGTTCCCCCGAATTGCCTTGTTAGTGAACCCCAAACGTAGGTCAGCCTTTAGGCCATTACTATGTGCTTCATACCATTATGACATAGCAGGGCTTGGTCCTAGGTACCTTGTTTCTTTGTAGAAAGGCCGTCCAAATTGTGTCAAATGGGTTCACCGGCCCAAAAGGATATTCAATCATCCTATGTGCTAAATATTGCATCTTTCAGGGTAAAAAGTCATTTGGTGGACTAATGTTTGGGAAATAAGAGTGAAAAATATAGTAAAAGAGAATATTAAGGGTTTTATCACTTTTAGTTTTCTTTCCCCATTTTCTAAAAAGAAAAAAAAAGATTTTGCACTTTCTTATCATTTTTCTAAAAAAACAAAAACAAATAGTATAGTTTTTCCAATTAATTGCATTTTTCAAAGCTTTCTCCCATATACAATCCTCTGGAACTACGCATACTTGATTCTCGTCTTTTAGGGTGGGATATGTAGACAGTCGACATAGGGTCCGGTCTTCCTAGTTAGTCTCAAGTTCTTGGCTTCGGAGGTCATAGCCAAGTCTTGCATGTCTTGCCACTTTTGGCCACATCAGCCATTTTGCAAAATAGGGCTATTTTCGCAAAAGTTGTCCGGTGACCCGTGTCTTAAAATATTGGGTATATAACTAGGTGCCACATTACTTAAGGTCCGTCCTTGTTGAGTTTGCATCTCTAGCCTCGTTTGGCCATATCGATCATTTTTACAAATGGGTCATTTCTGAAAAGTAATTTTGAGTGCCATGATTATTGGGAGTTTGAAGCCATATAGGTCTTAGTGAGGTATTTCTATGTCTTAGAGGTCACATTTGTTGAGTTTGCACTAATAGTCACCCTTGGCCATATAGGCTATTTTGCAAAAATAGCCCAATCATGTCTTGCATTGCCTAATAGGAAGTGATGTGGTGTCACATAGTGTCTTGAGTCACTAACTATATTATCTTCATTCAGGTATGGACCCACTAATTCGATCCAAAGTGTTGATGGTAGTGAAAATTCCGAAAAAGTTGGTCAGGTGGTGGAAAATATTTTCATTGTTAGAACAACACGAGCTAATGAATAAGTTGGGCACCCTCACTTCGCTTCTTGATATCGCACCTCGTCCGGATTTAGTGGAGGCGATGTTGACCTATTGGGACCCGCATAATAATTTGGAGAGTATGAAATGACTCCTACCATGTCAGAAATGTCTGGTCTCACTCATCTAAGTTACACATGCAAAAACATGATACTTCCCCGAGATCACTCTAGAACAAAAATCCTTAATGATTTGGGCCTTAAAGACAACAAGCATTTGGGATGCCTCGAGCAGTCTTGGATATCTTTTGATTATTTGTTTGCTAGATTTGGGCCTCACGGTGGCTTTGATGTCTTTTGGGATGAGTTTTGCACAACCAAGGCAAAGTGGCAAAGACGTCGCCTTGAAGCTTTTAGCCTTGCTTTGTTGGGTATGTTGGTGTTTCCTTTGGACAAAAGGCATATTAACACTCGGCTACAATCATTAGTGATTGCCTTATTTCACGAGAAATAATGCAAGACCGCTACCATTATGCCAATGATCTTGGCAGAGTTGTATTGAGCCCTCAGTGAGGTTAGGGGATGTGTTAGGTTTTTTGAGGGGAGTAACCTTTTGCTGCAATTGTGGATGATGGAGACTCACACATTACTTCCTTAATTTGTCCCGTCGACCGTGCTTTGCGTGATCGAGTGGTATGCATCGAGTGTAGGATGGAGTTTCCTATATTTACATATCCAGTAGGTGTCATGGCTTGGATTGAGTTTTTAGGGGTAAGGACAAGTGGGAATGATTTGTGGACCTACCTTTGGCTTCCTTTAGATGAGATCTTAGTAGGATGTCGCATGCAACCTTTCTTGATGTTGATAGGACTTAGGTGTGTCAGGTCGTACACGCCAATTAGAGTGTTGCGACAGTTGAGCAGAAGACAAGGGGAGCCGCCAACTCTGAATCTTCGGAGGCACATCATGAATTTTAGCAAAAAGGCAGCTGATGATATCAAGTACATGCAATATTGGAACAATGCAAAGAGGGTAAAAAAGAACACATTAGTAGAGGACATTGGCAGACCCGAATGTACTCATGAGTATTTGATTTGGTTTCAGTCTATTCCACCAGGGGTCAGTACCCATTACCAGCACAACTTAGGGGGTGAGCAATTCAGACAGATTATTCCTAAGAGGCTTCGGATAAAGATCCTTAGGGTAGGCTTGAGTTGCTAGGGTCTCAGTTAGCAGGTTTGTTAGCCAATGTGGAGCAGCATGGTTAGTATTTGTTTAGGGTCGACCTTCAGGAGGCGGGGGCACACGCCAAGACCTTTGTTCCCACCATTGTTGCATATTTACGAGGCATGTTACTGAGCTTTAGCATGACATGCGTCCCAAGACCATCCCAGTTGGGGGCGCCGCATTCAGGAACTGCATGAGGAGGCTTTTTATTTATATACTCTGAGTCTGTTTTGTGTTGTCTTTTACTTTCTAGTTTTGTCCAGTAGTACTGAGTCCGTTAGGAGTGTCAGAGTCTGTCGTAGTCTAGTTGAGTTTGTCAAGTCTTTTGTTATCGTACTTCCTATTTTGTATTTGGAAAACCAAAAAAAAACTAATTATAAACGAAAAGTCCAAAAATATTGTTTTTTTAGAACTATGCTTGGTCTGATTCATGTGGAACATGATACGTAGGCAACCTACATCGGGTTCAATCGAATCATTTTTAATTTTTTTTAAGAAAAAAAAATGAAAAGAGATGAAGTTGTGGGATGTGAGAAATGAGAGGAAAGAAAAGAATGGTAAGCATAAAGGAAAAGAGAGGAAAGAAGATGGTGTAAACCAGGGAGCATTAAAAGAAAATAAAAAAAGAAGGTTGGAACAAGCAAATCGGGATGATGCCATATGACCTTATGACCTTCAAAGTCATTCTAGAACCGTTAATTGCTGCTAAGTGCATCGCATGTAATTTGATATTATTATCTGATACCTTAACTCCAACATGTTGGCTTTGTTTTTCTCCTTTTTTTTCTTTTCATTATCAATTCCAAGAAGGTGGTTGGTTTGTGGCGCTCTAGCGAGTCATCCATACAACACTAGGTTAAAGAGCAAGGCAATCATGACTAGCAAAGAATTGGACATAGGTGTTGTTGATCCATCAAGAGAGATTGTAGAGTCAGAATCTGAGTTGAATGAAGATGTTCAAAGGTTGAAACAACACATGTCAGATATGTATCAAGCTTGGATTAGTGGGCATCCTCCTCCCTCATTTTCCACTAACTACACTGAAAACCCTACCACCATCCCACCACTATCACAAGGCCAGATTCCCACCACTGTTGATTTTTCCCCACAACATGCTCTAGGCTTTACCCCTTATCACAACTACCCTGGCACCTCTTCCCAACCTTTTCATGCTTCACCAGCCAAAACAACCTCATATCCCGCTCCATCATCCATTCCTGTACTTGTAGCCCCTTCACAAGCTACCATCTATCGATCTTCTAGTGAACCCGCGTTTAAAGTTCCCGATGCCCAATACTGTGCTCCTGAACCGACTTTTAAGGTCTCAGATCCCTATAGTTATACCCCACTCTGAGCCTCCTGTTGAAATCGAGAAACCCACTAAGAATGTGGAGCAAGATGAGATATTCAGAAAGGTGAAGAGTTTAGATCAATCTTTAAGGAACATGCAAGGGATAGGAAACCAAGTAAGTGTGTCTTACAAGGACTTGTGCTTGTTCCCTGACGTCCAACTACCCGCCGGGTTCATGATGCCAAAGTTTGATCTTTATGACGGACATGGAGATCCCGTGGCACATTTGAGAGGTTATTACAGTAAGATGAGAGGCATTGGTGGGACGAACGAGCTTTTGATGACCTATTTCAGTCAGAGTTTTTAGTGGGGCAAGCCTGGAATGGTACACACGTCAAGATGCTAGCAGGTGGTATACATGGGACGATATGGCTCAGGCCTTTTCCTGACACTTTCAGTATAATATAGATATTGTCCCGGATTGCCTGTCCTTGACCAAGATAGAAAAGAAGCCTAATGAAAGCTTTAGGGAATACTGGCTCAGATGGAGAGAACAAGCTGCCCTGGTCAATCCTCCGATGGAAGAAGACGAGACGGTCAAGTACTTTCTTCAAGCCCAAGAGCCTACTTACTTTTGCCACTTGATCTCAACAATAGGCAAGCCTTTTAATGATGTGGTAAAGATGAGAGATATGGTGGAAGAGGGACTCAAGTCGAGCAAGATCATGAGCTACTCCGCTATAAGAGCAACCACACAGGCAATCCAGAACGGTACAAGAAGTTTGTTAGGCAAGAAGAAAATGGATGATGTTGCTATGGTTGTCTCTGGACCAATGCGTGGCCCAAGGGGTCCGCCTCTATCACGACCTAAATAGCAGGTCTGTGACGGGCACCCGGTGCCTAACTCAACCGAATACCAATGTAACGTATCCTTCTTATCATACTATCATGGGTAAATGAACCGGAAAGGCGTCATAAGATAAATAGGATTAAACATAAGATAATACTCGACATCGGATGACCCAACATGATATAGAAGCTTATGCATGCGACATATGGGCCTATAAGGCCGACATGATAATTTGTATACTCAAAACATAGGCCGACAAGGCCATACACGTATCCATATACATGACATCTTTCTACAAGCCTCTACAAGTACATAAATGTCATAAAAATTAAGATATGGCCCCGCCATACTAATCAACACATGTCCAAATCATACTGACCAAATAGGCAACTCCGGAGCAAGTGGAGTGCACCAACATTTTCCACTGAGCTGATAGCCTACTAGGAGGACTCTCAACCTGTCTATCGGGACCTGTGGGCATAAAACGTAGCGTCCCCAAGGAAAAGGGACGTCAGTACAAATAAAGTACTAAGTATGTAAGGCATGCCAATACTATGTAAAAGACATGAAAGAAACACGGAGTAAAGAACTCAACCTGTAATTCCAAATAGCTTTGTGAATCATGAAAATCTTATAATGTCATGCATGTGCGTATAAATTCCATACCATGCATAGGTATATGCGTACATAACATCATCAAGCCTCTAAGGGCATCCCAACATATCATCTCAGCCACTGTGGGCTAAATTATCAATGTATACCAGCTGATCAGGTGGTGGTGCGTATATAACACCATAACCTTTTCCCATATCCCATATAGATATAATACACGCGTATATAACGCCATCTGGTCATGAGTCAATGTACATGTATAAATGAATGCAATGCATAATGAAGTAAGTCAGTAAGATCTCCCAGAATGTCATAAGATCAATATGCCTTCGGTTAGTATCATGAAATAAACTTTATCAACTTACGTATTTTCTGAGACCCATGAACAGACGATAAAATAATAGGACACATGGGGAATCAAGAACATAGGCACTCCTAGTGCTTCTATGAATAAAGGTATTTATGAAAATTTTGCGTTTTCTTATTTAGTTTGTATCGTATGGATTATGCCAAAAGGAAAGAAGGGATAGTCTTAACATACCTTTGCAATTTTCTCTCCAATTGTCGACCAAGCTCAATATGATCTTCTTACGTCTACAATGAGTAACCCAATTTCATCGTCATCATATAAGTATTGTAACTCTTATATTTCAAAACCAATATTCTACAAGAAAATGGACAGCACCTTCCCTGTTTTTACTACATCCCATTACTAAAAGTCACCAAACAGCCCAAACAACAACAATATAATTCACAATAAGCTCTCTGATTACTTCGACAACCATTTTGAGCGGCAAACTAGATTTACAATTAACAAAATATAATTTAATCCAATTCCTTTTCCATGAATCTGCCTACAACTTATATAACATCATACTTATGCTTACCATATCATTTTCATCCCAAAAATTGATAAGAATAATCTTCAAAAATAGTCCACACGCCTAGCACCTTAACCTTTATCGTCAACCTCTTATTTTTTATGTTATCTTCTTCAATCCACTGAATTAGCACATAGATAAGCTTAACAACAGCAGCCAAAACATAATCAAACTATTTATAATAATTTCCAGCTACAACAAACCATATATATATATATCCTCAACACAGCCCATAAAAAAGAGATAACGATTCCTTATGCTATGTCAATTACTATCTTGAAGATTTTAACTCCAACAACTCAAACAACACATGATTAACCTTAAGCACAACCAAAAGCATGATTTACATACCTTAGGCAGTAGATACAACTTGAAATCCCCAGTTGGTGTAGCTCACAACAACCCTCAATCACACTACAACATCATAGAAGCATTCTCATGTAGTCTTTAACACCTTTGATGATGATTTGAGTTGATTCCCCTTGAGTTTGGTTCTTGGGATTTTGGGATATGCTAGGGAGGGTTTTGGAGAGATTTTGGACGAAATTTGGGTGAGAAATGACACGAAATGAGGCTGAAACATCTTTTAAAAGACATAGGGTCGGTGGCCATCTCAAGTGGATCCCAACCGAGCTGCTTGCGTAGCCTCGCGAAAACGCGGATATCTCTTTACTCCGACGTCGTATCGACGAACGATTTGCAGCGTTAGATACTAGATACATGGATATTTAATTAAATATAAATATATACCTGCAACTCTCAATATATTGTGAGAAAACTGCCTCGCAACCTGGCCTATAACCCTGCCAGTTTCTCTAAAGTTCGGCGACATGACTTGGCGACCCTACTTTAAGAATCCATATTTCTCTACCCCGATATTGTATGAATAAATGATTTAGACCGTTGGAAACTAGGTTCCAATACCTTCATATTTGTATTATATATGTCCCAAAATGACATCATAAAGCTTACGAATTAATTTCTCAAAATGACTCGTTTCAAGGCATATCTTAGCTCGATGTTTCTGCAAATTTAATCCGATTTTTTCCAAACTTTATATTTCATATCCAAACATCATATATAGTCATATAATGACTTTAAAAATATTTAAATCATGATTAACAAGTCTCATATTCATCTTAACTTACTTAAGACTTCGGTAAACCTTTGTTATCCTTGTAGCAGGATTTTGTCCTCTTTGAGTTTACATTAGATAATCCTATAATGACTGTGATGTCTGAAGTACGGGATGTAACAACATGTCCCCTTAGAAACATTTATCCTCGAATGATAAATCTTAAAGGCTTGCGAAACTGGGACATAACATCAGTAAATCACTTTATATACTTTCAAAGAGGATCTCATTTTCAAGCTTACATCAATTTACTTACGACGTACTTTCACGTACAAAAACATGGGGTGTAACATCATTCCCCCTTTTGGAATATTTGTCCTCGAATGTTGACTGATACGCTTATCATTCTCATAACCTATGGCTCTTATGAATACTTTAATATTGTCCTTTGCCATCTAGGCAACAGTTCTATGAATAAATCTAAGGGTCAGGGCATTCCCCCATTTAGGCCTCTTTCTCACGCCACGACTAGTGGTCAGAATTCTTCCAATCTTATAACTATTTCTACCTTCTATCATGCAGTATGTACGACTTTGTCCTTGTATGTGTGCCTATGCGACTCTTCTCTCCTTTTCCTCCAGCTTTTAGCCAATCTCTAGGCCTCACTTTGTGAACATATACAGGTCTACGACAAACTGTCCCTCTGGGCATCTATAGGTATACTGAAGTTCTTTGCTTGGTACTTTGTTGAATGTACCACTATTGCTATATTTTGTTTTCTAGCCTTGGTTATCTATCCTTATGGCATAGGTGCATCTAGGTAGGTCATACCGTACTATAACACTTATTTCGATTTTTTATTACCGAGGTCTGCTACCTAACTCCCGGTTACTCTATCACTGCTTATCCCATATGTATAAATCTAAGTCCTTTAATGTTTCCTTATTACTGTTCATCTAAAGAATGACATCATAACCTCCTCTTATGCCTTGGAATTTTTATCCATCTATTGTTGATTCACCTTAATGTTGATCTATATCTACCACTGATAACTTGAGACCTCTTACGTAATACATCTGAAGTGATATTCTTGATCCACCTAGGGTTGATACTATACTTCAATAACCGTATTTCATAGCATCCCAGTGCAATTCATCTTATATGGGTATTCTAATCCCATGCAATTCATGAAATCCCTTTTCTTAAAATGATTACTCATTCAAAAGCCTAAACGACATCCTCTTATCTATCATCATTACACCCTTATTCTACTACCAGGGCAGCATTTCATCTTTTTTAATTGCTCCTAGTCTTAGACTCATCTGAGTCAATTCAAGCTATACTGAGATTTCTATAACTTACGGAAACCATCAGCTCTCTTATTTTGATGGGCTTAATCCCAGGCCTTACCTATTCTTGTCACCTTGTCACTCATCTTTACTTATCCTTACTCCTATCTACCTAAACCCTTGTCGCTCTACGATACTTTAGATTGAACCTACACATATATATTCATACTACTCGCAATATTCCTTTAACTTGCTAGCACCATAGATTTCCTTTCGTGCCTTCTCAGTTACCTTTAAATGTAAGCAATTAATTTTACTGATCATTCTGCCACTTGTTACATGAATACTTGGCTTATCTTGTTGCCCACGAATACTGGAATTTTCTGTAACTCAAATGATCTCAAATATCACCTTTTTTCCCGTTCATTAGCCACGATAGGTGCCACTTTCTTATGAAGTACATACAATGTTATAGTGATATAGTTGTTACAAGACCATTTCCTCTTTATGTCACTATGCTTAAGTTGAAGCCTTCTTCCTTATTTCCTCAGCTAGTCTTTCTTTGTAATACTTAAGGGAGACCCTTTGACTCCTATAAGGTTGCGAGCTTATTACATCGTATACCCGAAATAATTTTTGATGTTCTTACTCGCCTATAAT